CATCGAAGTTCACTGCATCGACGCGGTGCCTGTAGGGAAGGTCAGTTTTAAAAATGGACGGGTCTTTTTGGTAGACATATCGAGTCAAGCGTCACCAGCTCCGTATGGCAGGTCAAGCCCGTCTATTCCCGCAACGATACCTTGGTGCGAAGTTGACGCTCGTCGTCGAGCGATTGTTTTATGTTGATGTCAACGCCTAGATACTACTAATGTCGCGATGTGGCTACGCCAGTCAAAGCGGCTGTTCTTGAGCAGCGATGATGATACACATTGCATACTTGCGCGTATATATATATACGCATATATATAGTCATCAATTTTGATCTAATTAACTTCTCTTGATGGATTCTGTAAATCGATCCGCAACCCGTACCGTGTAATGTCATTTGCGTACGAAACCCGGGGATCGGATCGCCGTTCGCATAGACAAGGTTCATCGCGTATTGAGTCTCTGAGCGCCGATCCATTTAAGATAGACAAAATTTCCGCATTCTCCGCACGTTAGGACCATATTATACAAATGTATCTTTTTATCCCCTTTGTCCACTTTTTCAGTGAAGAAACTCGAGACATTTCGCCGCTGGTGGTTTTGACAAAGGCTTTGAAAAGGTTCGAAGACAAAATGTTTTTTGTGTTTTTCTTGCGATTTCCGCAGCTTTTTGGCATTCTTTGAACCGTTCTTCCATTTTTTTTAGTTACTTATTGTGCTTTTGGTATTCTTAGATTTCATGTACTCTATCAATTATCCCAACGTGCTCGAGTCCTCTTCGGGGTAACCGCTCTAAGGCAAACAACCACTATAGCACAGTGCAGTGACGGAAGTCAACTGCAGTTGACCAACGTTAGGTACTATTCTGTGGCCCCGGCGAGGGGGCTGACGATTCTGTTCATGAGTTCATCTTCTCTTATGACTAAAGGCAGACGCACAGTCTTTGGTATTTAGTCTGCTTAGCTCTCGCTGTCGTCTGACCGGCTGGGTCTCTATCCACTAAACCATTATCTCGGTCTCGGCGGCTGCTGTCGTCGTAGCGATGGAATGATTGACCCACGGGGGTGGTGGCGGCAAAGAGTTCCCACAAAGCGAAGCAGCGGAGACGGCAGAAGATGACAGGGAGGGGCAGAATTGAGGGAGACGACGAACAGAGATCTGATGTGAAAGGACGGACGGACGGACGAGCCATCGGCGCCAGTGCCTGTGAACGACGGGGGAAAACCGCCACTTGTGGTCAGCGCTAGAAAGTGCTCACAGTAATAATTTTGACGACAGTCTTAATGCTGTTGTTGCTACTTTTGATGCCGATGATGATGAGCATGCCCGTGAATATGATGCCAATGTTGGTGCTTCTGACGGGCCGATCAATGGTGCATCCGGGTCGCTGCTATCGTCATCATCGCCTTCGTTATAATGCTCGTCGTATAGGAGTAGTTCTCTGACCGTTATCACCTAGGGGCTATGGCTGGCTACCGCTGTTGTTGTTCTTTCGGTTTTGGTTAACGTTGGGGGGTTGGGTTAGCGAGGGTCTGTCTAGGCTGCTGGGCACAGCAGCTCGTTCCTCAGCTGCAGTCAGCGTTAGTTCAACTATGATATGTTGAGTATTCGCTAAACTGCCGTAATATTAAATACTGTACTAGGGCCGAGCATGTAGACCAGACGCACGGTTTGAGCCATCTCCGGTCTGACGATGGACTTTGCACTTGGCGAGGTCGACGGCCAACCAACCAGCAAAGTTCTGTGTCGGCCAGCGGGGAGTTACTGCCCACTGTAGTTCCCTGCTGCATCTTCGCCATGGTCGTCGCCGTCGTCGTCGTCGTCGTCGTCGTCATCACCAATAACAGTGAGAGCAAATGAAAAGGAAAAGGCAGAAAAATAAATAAAGGAAAATTGAGGTCTTCGAAGTTAAATCACTGAGCGCCACTGTGACTCACATATCTCGAAGGCAGCAGTCACGGACCTGGAGCGTAGAGAACAGCGAGACTCCGAGGAAACCAACGGCGTACTACACTGCGGAAAAACCAAACGGTCTATTACCGGCCTACGCAGTGGGAGGTGGCTTTTTTTTTCTGGGCGTTAAAGTATTGGCATGGTTTTGGTGCGAATGCGATTGAACGAGTGACATGGCCTGTCCGGTCCTATATATATTACTTATCGCTTATCGGAGGAAAAATGGCGCTTTGAACGTGTACAATCGGAAGAAAAAATGTGGTAATTTTAGCTGAATAAGATTCTGTTGACTAAGCGTATACTAATGGTCAGTACGAAATTCCTGTATCGGCTCTTATAGGTATGGAGATGAACGTTGACGTGGGTCAGCAAGTAAGTTTGGAGTTTGAGTCTGTACCGGCAGCTCTAATGCATCAATATATCGGGTCACTTATGTATACGACCTTAGTAAATTTCCGTTATCAGTATGGATCAACCTGCCAACCGCGGTTGGACGTCCTTTGTTCGTACATATAGGCGCTGCGCTTTTCCCCCTATCCCCTTTGTCGATTTCAGCCCATATACAGCCCAGTCTTGCCATATTGGATCAACGCTCGCTGCTGCTGCTGCTGCTGCTGATCAACAGTGATGCTTAGTTACCTCTGTTTATCGCGAAAAGGAATTAATGTCATTAAGGGCGCGAACAAGGGCCGCAGCTATCCGCCAGATTATTGACAGAATCACCGATCAGACCAGATTGATTACCACTGTGAAACAGCATACGACAGTGTATCGTCGTTTGCCATACTCTAAGTAGCAGGTGATTCACTAGAATTCCCGTGTGCGGGTCCGTTGCGAATTTTCAACCACAAAGGTAACAGACTTGGCTTTTCGTCAAACATTCCTACCGTCAATGTACTGTGCATTAGGGGACCACCAGCAGCTGCCAGCCATTACTGACCACTCCAACTGAAAAAGCAGTAATCACTTCTTCTTCTTCTTCTTCTTTTTTTTTTTTTTTTTTGTTTTTGTAGAGTCTTCCAGAACGCGCTGGTAACGCTAGTCGGAATAGAAGCCGCGTTTCGTCTGCAACCGTCGATAAATCGCCCGCCGTTGTTTGGCGTTGTTCGCCGTTGAAAACAATATAACGTCGCCTACATCGTTACCATACCGTAGTAATAATCATCGACCGGTGTAATCATTATCATCGTCAGAATGCATGACAGACATAGAAGTCGGCGGATTGTTATGTTCGGAATCGGCAAAAACAGTAGTTCTCTTCGGGGGTTGTTCCACTTCGTAAGTGTGAACTGGCGCCAACTTAGCTCACAACTACTGTTTCAAAAACCCCCAACACCATTCCATAGTAATCGACACACGTGATAACAATCACAATCATGGTACTAGTAGCTATGGTTAATTGATTGTCGTCATCAGCAAAATGAATCAAATCAAGTCACGATTAACCAGCTTGTTCAGTGGGTTGCGGTTACTTTTGCCCATCTGCCCAACTACTGCAAACAGCTCGTGTGTCGAATATTTGCACATATATATGTGTGTGTGTGTGTGTGTGTGCGCGTGTGTGTTATTATTATTTTGTCTATGTATGTAAACATAACCACAGCATTGACTAAATTACGTCGATACACATATAGTAGAAATACAGACAAGTAGGGCGGCACGGGATGTTCTTAAGCACATGGGCGTCTGGGTGAGCGCAAAAGACGCCGGAGTGCCACGGTAGGGAAGTAACGGAACCGCCCTGATAAACTTTCGGCAAACCAAAGAGCCGTTAGGTTACTTGCTGTTCGCTGATTTAGTCATTCTCTTCTGGAGGAGGATCTGGAAGGATCTGGAGCGACTGTTAAGTCGTACAATTGCAATGTCTGTTATTACCGTCCTTGGCCATTGATATCATACGATCATCGACGCGTGACCAAGACGTTGGTCCGGAAACAGTCAGACGCATTGCATCTACTTCTGGATAGCTTAGCTAGCCATATGAAAACAAGTAAACGGACGCAGAACTCGTGCTAGCTCGAAAAAGTGAAAGGACTCTCATTGTTAAGTCGCCCTTTGTCTGTATGGGATGACGCAAATCGTAACGGATCTTTAACGTATTAAAATTATGAATGTACATTCTGCTATTAATCTTACGTCTTATACGTCAAGAGTAGTATGTACCGTTCTTGCATATAGGTTTATGCTGTTCGTTGCGATGAGAGGATAAATTGCTGGATGACTGTCTTCTTTTCGTGGCCAAAATGAACACCTACAGGAGGGATAGCCATTGTCCAAATGTAGCATAGAATACCTCACTTATGATACATATCGGTTATAAATTTGGTTTATGTCTATTTTGATGCTACCGCTGAAAACTTAATCGAATATTTGAATGTACCGTCTAGCACCACTGGGTATTATAGTTTGTTGAGCTAGTATCGTTTCCGGTACAGTTTAATTTCAATAACGGCCAACATGCGAATAGAACGACGAGGTACGCATATAGTTGTGGCATGTAGCATCTGTATTCGCTACCACTCTTTAGGGGCAGAACGAAGTTAACCTGCTTGCCTGAAGGCCCGCAGCAAGCAGTGGCAAAACGTCAACACAACGAACAAGAAAATATACAAGGACGATCCTAGTTAGTCTAAGCTGTATGTTTGTTCTTTATTAGATGGTATACTAGTGATTGTCTACGTAATTACATGTATGTAAAAAGTAATTACATCCCAAGCGATTAGCGCTATTGTTATTAGTGCCATTGTCGGCACAAAACAGTGCACCGGATATTATAATTGTAGTAAGTCGCAGCTCTGTACTACGTATACGTGTACATACACGCTTGGGATACGTGTACAAACAGGCTAGCTAAGTACAGAAAACTATGGAACTGACCATTTCTATACAACCTGCTTACACCCCCAACTATTTTCTCTTACTAACAATACCTGTTTGATATTAGAGTTAGTGTAGAGCAGATAAATGAGTGGTCAGTTGAGTATACATCAAAGTAGAGAAATCTGACGATTCTCTTGTTACTGTCATTGTTATTTATGAAGGGCTTCGCGGTACTTACCATGGAGTGGCCGAGGTACTCAGCTGCATTATCGGAAATGTACAGAAGCTTCCCATTCTGGGTCAGCATCATGATAAACCCGCTGAGAGCCTTGGAAAATCCAAACGGGGGAATTGGCACCTCCGCCCGTGGTCCATCAAACTTGTGAAATACTGCAATAGGTCAAAAACAACAAAAAGCAAACCTCCATGAGCAATGGTAGCCTCTCGTACACAGAACATTCATAATCACGCTTAGTATCTAGATAATTTCAAAACAATCCAAGTACTAATGTACTTGCCAGCCGAAAGCTGCGTGGTGTTCCTTATATATTTCGAAAAATTACTTATAGCCTTGTGAGAGCGCGGATAATCAAACATATTGCGCGTGTGTTAGAGGGCAGTCGAATTTTGTTGTTATTGCTCAATTACTTCTTCATTTTACGGGACCCTCTGTACCCCCTGTCGCTGCTTGATTTAATCCCCCGTAGCAAATCGGACAAGCGTGATCCCTAGACTACCGTAGTTGGCTTTATTCCGTCGCCTATCAATGAGAGTTATTCCGGAGGTGGTTAAAGGAAGTCGAAGAGCATCCGACCGCTATTACCAACTGCCAGCACACACGCTAGCGGGCAAAGAGAGATCAACAATATTCTTCATCGATCTGTTTGGAACGGCTCTGGCAATAAGGTGAGGCGTGCTCCTCATGATAGTTGGAGCTCGCCAAGCTCGACAGCCAGGATGGTTGACGAATCGATCGGCCTATCTAGTCATTGTCGCCCAGAATGAGTCCAAATCGCCAGATCTGATGGAAATAAAATCAGGTCAGACTGATTAGCACATAATCATCACGTATCAGACAGCAACTCACCGTTAGTCCGGTCGGACAAACATCGCAAACGATCAATGTAAAGTACTTAGCCATAGCGTCCATCTACTATGAGAGCTATTCTGATGGACTTTGACTTCACGCTTTTTGTACAAACGTTCCTTTGCTCCTCTTCCAAACAGATGAAGTTGAAATCGTTGTTAGTGCAACAGACGATACAGGCGCAAATGGGTAAAAACATTCAGGACGTTCTTCGAGGAATTTGTCAGGGAATCGGGTACTGGAAAGCGTTTGCGTTTAGAACTAGTAGTATTATACTTAATCGAAAATACCATACAGATAGAACTAATACGTCTTCTGTGAGAACACTTAGCGCCTAATGACAGTTTTTGCTATGATTACTATTATTATTAATATCGGGATCGAATAGCGACAGCCGTTGTATGAACTCTACGTTCCTCGTAGATGAGTTCTAACGAAACTACGTGCTATCTAGCAGTGTTGTATCTAGTGAAGTCGGCTCGTGTTTACCTTTGAGAAGGCGTGCTCATTCGCTCATATAGCGCACAGAAATACGCGTCGCGAGCTGCCCAACGCTACTCTGTGACTTTTCCGAATTTAACTTGAAAGCAAGTTCAGCTGCTGTGTCTGAACCCGAGTCCCAAGCCTACATTTGGATATAGTTTGTTCTGTGATGAACTACCCCCGTTACAAGGTTTCACCAATCCTTGCTGTTGTCCTACTATTGTACTTTAGTTACCGTTCTCTCGTTATTCTGCTTAATGAAACCTTCTTCATCGTTCGACTCACCCTATTAGCTTACTGCATTATCCCGTTACCCTGTTACCTGCAATATTGTTTCAGTAATCTTATTACCCTACTCGGGTGACTTTGACCCATATGTTTCATCATCGCGTGCTCGTCACCCTATATCCCCATCGCATGTGCCAGTTAGTCTGTAACCTATTGCAGTTCAGTCGTGACAATCGTATCTTTAAAAGATCAGTGTTTTTCAGAAATTTCCATTTGCTAGGCAGAACATGATACAAAATAAATTCTCGTGCTGGGATCTAAATTTGGGCCTATTGTTTGGGCCTGAAATGGAAAAAAGGCAACTTTCATATTTGGATTTTTCTATACAAACATTGCTCAACGAAGTCGTTTTTGAGTTCTGTGGGGAAGTTTTTTGATAATCTCTACCATAAAGAAGAATCTTTTCAGGAGATGTCGCTTCTTCTAAAAGCTGACTATTGCTAACTGTGTGTAAACAATGCGCGTTCGTACTCCATCTCACCAAACCAGTGCGGAGCTAATCAGGTACGGTGTCGTGCTTAAACATACTGGACATGTTCGAGAGGTATAAACGAACCGAAAAAAAAATAAATTTTTCTGCAGCAGTAATGACAGCCGCAGTTCTAACAACGGCATCAAAGACAATGCTGGTAAGCTTATTGTAGCAAAAGCACTTACCAACGAGGCAGACCACCCTACTTGAAACTGCTGACTATCGACGAACAAGCGATGACCACAAAAACTGACGCAGTCACAGCCATCATCAGATGTTTTTCCACGTGACTTCTGCCAGCGTCTTCAATCGCAGTAACAGAAACTGTTCTCTAAATTATAATACCTCAGTACTACAAAAAGGTAGTTGTAGATAAACTGCGAAGAAGAGCAGCGGGTTGTACAAGCGGATTCGAAACCCTATTAAGTGGCCGGTTGGCGAAAAACCGTTAAAAGTGCGCATCGCTAATGCTAATGCCGGTCAAAAACGTCTAAGCAAACTTCTTCTGATGGAATTCGCCGTTATCGTCAAAAGATGAGCTGTTCTATTCTTTTCCATTGTTAGCTTAAGACTTCCCAGCCACGATACACATATATTTATCAACGATCAACATTTCACTGTGCACGCTTTGCAGCCGCCGTACAGCAGATGTGGCCTATTGAGACTGAGATAGGGAAATCCTTGCTTTATTTAACATGTATATATATATATACATGTTGCATTTCTTCGATGCTGCAAATAATCGGTGTGGTTAGTTGAACTTGACAAGCCAATCCAACGAAAATTGCTAGCAATGCCACATTAAGAAGAAGCTTCTCTTCTGTACGGTATCCATGGCTACGAGCGAAGAAGGTCAAGAGTGCTCCGACTGGCGGCTTGTGAAGAAGTTCCACAGTCGTCTCGGGTCCGACCGGACGTAGTTGCTACACTGTACCGTACGCAAAACGAAAGCAAACGTTTCCTCGTATTATCTGAGTCAGTCTATGGCTGTGGTCCTGTCAAACGTTTATGTAAGCGCATGTGGTCCAATGTTGCGGTAAATAATTTGGCGTGAATAATCAACAAATTGTTGTTGATGTTGTTTCCTACGACTGGAACCGTTTCGAAGCCGCGTAAAACATCTTCAATTGCTGATCGTAGATAAGGTCACGGCGACACATGGAGATCGAGAAGCATCACTGATAGCAATCCAGATTTTTGGCAACAACAACAACAACACAACGCGGTTGGTTGATTAATCGACCTTTTGCGAACAGTGAGAAGCGTCCTTTCAGACGCAGGACAACATGTTGAAGATCGAGTCGTCCAACAATCGAGGGAAGTACCTGATACGAAAATGCCAAAGCTGAAGCTGTAACGTTGAATCATTTGACAGAGTCAACACAGGCAAAACGTTGCTTAACATAATAAGCGTATTGAAATGCGTTTTACTCTAGTAGCAAATGGCAAATAGGCGCAGAGAATGTATGATTTAAGTCACCGTATTCAACCAACTAGATGTTCTCAATGTAAGAAGTAGTTGATCGTCGGCTAATCGTTGGTTTTCCTGTCTGCTTTCGGGGGCCACCCTCGGCTCCTATAGGGGCCGATTACAAATTTCAAGTCCTTACGCGGTAATTGATCGGCAACATTGACTATAGAATAAATTGTCGACTACGGCTACCAGCTGGCAGCGTTATTTAGGACCGTTATCTTGAAAATGGTTTCTATCGGCCTATACGGCATAATGGTTAACTGAAATCCACGTACCTATGTATGAGTGTAATCTCGACAATCTTCTCTGCGATCGTTACCCATGACCTTTGTCGCTCACCTTTGATTTAGCCTTCATTGAGGTAGTCGCGCGAATTTGCCCTCCTCTATGGGTGCCGCCTTCTCGGAGGCCAGTAACGAAGGCATTGACAGCATCAACGATCGCAGCAGCAGCAGCAGCAGCAAAAGCAACAGAATCGGCAAATAAATCTCATTAAATTCTGCGCGAATTAATCACCACTATGAGGGTCGATTCCCTCTGCTTAATTACCTAATCAGTGAAGCCAGTCGTGTTTCTTCTCAGACGCGACAATTCAGCGACGCTATCGGAACTCGCGCGGGCGAATTTAGATGTTCGGCTACTTTTAGAGAGTTTGCCACCAAATGAGAGACTGCAGACGGACTAACACGATAACATACATAGGTTCTTATCTTGTTGGTCCTATCATCGCAGGTTTCTCGCCGTCTCGTTAGCTATCCGCCCCACCGACATGTCCAGCATAATGACGCCTACATCCAACGCTTCGGGATAAATTACCAATGTGCAGATCGTTACATTATACGCGTCCTGCGATTGGCCTGTAGCTATTTTCTACGTATGCGCGGTAGTATTAGCTGCTGGAGCAATGTACGACTGGATATAATAAACGAGGCACTCTATGAAATCAAACTTATTATCTGAAAAAGGTTTGACTGTTGCTGTCTATTGTGCGAAACTGACTACGAAGTTGCTGAAGTGAGGGCTACGAACGACGAAGAATCGCTTTTCGCTCTTCTGTTCCAGCTTCTACTCCGATAATCGCTAACGGCCTCTAGACGATTTCTGCATTGCTGCCGGTTCTCTACGGAGAAGTTGTATTGTAACAGTGGCAGATGCCTCAGTATATTGTCTCGTAACAGCCAGTAATGACCCGATGAGAGGTATTCGGCTCTCTTCATTCGACCGACCGTCGCTGGCTTCTACGGCGAAGAGATACTCTTGGACACTCAGTTGTGGCCGGTGGCCAAATCGAACGCTGAGCGGATTGAGCGGCAACGCATCGATGTTCGAACACCAGCAGAATTATCGTCATCATGAACAGCGGGAAAAACGATGGCACAATCAAGAACCCCGGAGAACCATATCGGTCTTAGACACTTCGGCTAGCTCTGACCTCTATAAACTACAGCTGACCCCGACGGCCGCATATCGGCCACAGTACAGACAGATTGACTCATAGAGAAGCAGAAACAGCGGTTCGACACTTCGCTAACATTGTCGATACATCCTCGTACATAAATATATCTACCATAAATAGTTGTCGGTGCTGGATTACGGGTATCATAGCAGGGGCGGACAAAATCACTATATGAACGGTCAATTTTTAGCTGATTTGGTACTTGTAAATGTTCGAAACCGAGTAAAGCCAATGGGTACTCGTATTTCGGATTTTTCGCTGTCTAGATGCAACTAGAAGCGTCAAATTGTGCTATACTCAGATGGTCTGATCACTATGATCGAGCCTGCGTACTCGTTTGTCGTAGACGTGGCTATTGGTTGGTCATTGCTCGCAGTGGACGAGGTGACCTTAGATCTGGAACAAAAGGTAGAATACAGAAGGACGAATCAAAGACCTCCGTCGATCGACTTGATCGATATTGTTGAAGTATGTATTTGTGACCAATTTGACTGTTGTAAACAAATGCATAGAGCATCTTTCTAAATTGTGCGAGGGACTGTGTGCAGATGTGTCCATCATCTGCATCGGACGTCGCCGGATTTTCTAATAGCAAAAACATGAAAAATCATGCTTCGGCGCCTGTGTCCTGAGCACATTAGTGGCTGTACAAACTTTCGTCAACAGTTCTACTTTTCGATTAATCATACAAAACTATTTATGATGGTGTGGCATGTATGTCGTTGCTGCTGCTGCTGCTGTTTTCCGGCAACAGCCGATACAGCCAGGCAGGTCGCCACTGCAGCGAACTCAATAGAATTTAGATACAGGACAGCGGGCCGGAGAGATACAATTCAGGCAAGCTAGCCAATTGGAACGGTACAGCGAACGCTGGTCCTTGATCACCATGGCGACGCCAGAAGACAGCTCCACCTGTTATTGTGGCTGCAGCTATCATTGCGGCCATAGCAACACCGGTGGTCATAGAGATCATGGAAGCGCTCACATGATCATCAGCCGCAGCAACAGCAGCCAAAGCAACATAGTAATCAATCATTTCTGATTACGGCCTTCCGAACGCGGTAGCTCAGGCCATGTAAACGTAGAACCGTGCGACAGCCGTCGCGTCTGCGAACGATACCATAGCTTACTACTACCCATAAACAATACGTAATCCGCATTTTGCTCCCACGAAAAAATGAAGACGCGCACAATGGCCGAGAGGAAAAGGCATCTGCAGGAGTAGCAGCGACGAGTGGTGCAAAGCAACGAAAGACATAATGCTGCAGTTACGTTTCGTCTGCTACGACAGCAAGAACCAATTGCACCTAGAGCGAAACAACGAGGACAGATACGAAATTGACATCGTTGCCGTCGCAAGCGTCGATGCTGGCGCCTGCAGTGCAATAAACCAGTGTCGGACACGTAGCTAACGAAAGACAGCCCAGCGACACACATGCCGTCCGTTGTCGCGTTCTGGTTCGCCGGCGAAGGATCTTTTCGAAAAAGAAAGCCGAAAAATAATGCAGAAACCATTGCAGTGAGAGACCCCTAGACGGGCGGTAGAAGGCTTGTAACAAAGGCTCAAAACGAATACGAGAACAAACGAAAGAAAGAAAATAGAAACTGAAAAAGATAGTTCTATTACATTATTGGTGTGTGTATTGCGGTGCTGTTGTTGTTGTTGTTGTTGCTACCGCTGGGCAGGTAGTTCCGACCGGCGCGTTTATCTCAATTTGCATTCTCGTTCTTGACAAGACCGATTGCGACTGTAGCATCAGGCACAGATTTAGCAACGCGAGTCTCAGACGCCGTTCCTTCTGTTGTTGTCTGTACAGACCGATGTTGTTGTCAAGGTGTTGTTCGCGGCGCTAGTCTTCATCATCGGCGGGGATGGACGACGTTGTTCGTTGTAGCGGTAGAGTGCAGTAGCAGCCGTCGTATTACGTCGATGCATTACAGTCCGATCCGGCCATCGTGAAGCCTAACGGCAAGAGCAGCAGCAGAAGAAACAGCGGCCGTGGTAAGGGCCTAAACTAGTGGTCAGGTAGCCCGTGTCATCAAATGAAAGCCAGCAGCCGCTGTAACAACGGCGCCAGGCAACGGCAGTGCCGTGGGGAAGTCATGGCGTAGGTCTGTGCAGTAAGGCGGCTGGAACGTACATTTCTGATAGGCGTTCAAAGGAACATCCAGACCGCGTGGGTATACAAGGACGATCGAGTACTTGTGGTGATACTGTTATCTGCCGATGTGTTGACTCTGTTAACGGGACATTATACGATAAGGTCGACGCGAACTCCGAGGAGGAAACCGGTTTAATCTATGGTTATTTGTATTATTACCGTCGCTACCTATAATAATGGTAAACACTAGATGAATTTAACAAGGCACCAAGCTGAGATGCACTAAGGAATACAGGACGTACCACATATGGCAGTCAATGGCAAGAAACGAAAAATCAGAGTAAAGGAATAAAATTCTATGCATACTAATACCGCATATAGATAATCGTTAAAATCGGATTTGTAGCAGACTTATATAGCAGTTGAATAGAACCCATCGTCTCAAGCTCTTACTTTGGCGACTTAGAAGTTTTCAGCCTCTCTCTTCAAGTCCGTAGTACCTATAGCAGTTTGAAGCTTCCGACGAATTTGAAACTGGTTGCTAGTCTATCGAGCTTTTGGTCAGCGCTGCTTTAACCAACGCCAGCAGAAACGCTTAAGGAACGACTGGCAAATATCCCAATCTGTCAGGTCGTCATTCACAAAAGTTAAAGTTCCAGGCTACGTGAGTGATTCTTTAGTTTTCTATCAGAGAATGGCCAAGTCATAAACAAATGTTGTACTATCGGTATACACGCTGGGCGTTTATAGTAAGGCAACAAAGTAGCGGCAATAAACAGCATCGTTAACGTACGTGACATAAACCCAACGAACAGAGGATTTTTTTGCTCACCACCTTTCACCGTCACTGGCAGTGACTAAGTGCTGAATGGAAACTATTTTGCAAGTTTTTTTTTAGCTACCGATCATGCCTTCCGCCAGGATAGGCTCTAAATGTGGGTCGCGAACCTTAATCGCCTGTTATCTCACCTGTTAAAAGCTTTCGTTCGAATTCAGAAATACATATACTACCCCTCGTTTACAATGCAAGCGTCGCTTTGCTAAATTCTAACCGCCGATTGTTTAAATATCGCACTGGTCGATTCGAAGACGAAATAGTACTTTTACGTCACACGATATTGGAAGATAAGATAGTTAGCGTCACATTTACACACATCAGTATTTTTACACAATATATTTATTTATATTAGTCGAGCTCGGTGCTATTGTATTTAGACAAGGTTGCTGTGGCTAGAATTGATGATCGTCTGCTGTCATCGATCAGCCGTTCCTGGTGGCGGTTTACGCAAAAAGACGCATGCTTCGTTGTCAAGAGAAGCACACCCCAGCCAAATAAAGTCACGTAACGGCAAACGTTTTTCACGTTTCGTTACGTGATACGAACTAAAGAAGGTTGACGCATCGATAAGCAGAGGTCGAAAGCTAACTTTTACAATGCTGCCGGAATTGCAAATGGTTATTAATTAGCTTATTACTAACTGTTCTTTTAAGACTCGTAGAGAATCAACTAGCAGACGACCGCAGGCTGTTACGTCGTCCGCACTAATGACCGTCATAAATACTTGTATATAGAAGCAAAGATAATATGATCAATAGATAATTAATTAGATATGAAAAAGCGATTTAAACCATCTATAGAACTATCAGAAGAATAATAACAAGGGCTCAAAATTGTTTGTTTAATAGGTGAAGTAGAAGAATGTTTAGACCAGATCGAATATTGGGATAGAGTCTTTCGTGACATCGTGCAATCTACTATAATCGATCAAAGTTTAAATTGTCCTTAGGTGAATTACGCTAACCTAGTGTCAGATCGTTGTCAGAACTGTTGAGCTTACTTTGTTTGAAGTAGTTGATAAAGTAATTGGATTTGCGAACGAAAACGCAGACGAGAGCCATCAACTGAAGTTGCGACAATCTCTGACGCGTTGACGACGGCAGAGGCAGAAGGTCCCTAAGGTTGGCCACTTCACTGTTGATTAGATCTCGGCGGGCTTTTGATGCCCCTTTGGTCGACTTGGTCGCCTCGAAACTGAAAGGACGCATATAGCAGACAATGAGATAAAGATGAAAGTCATAAACAAGCAACGAATGTCTTATAGTAAAGTCTACGTATACATTTGAAGTCATCTGCTCTCTGGAATCACGTAATAACCAAGTTGATAGACAGAGAACGAGTATATTTTTCGCTATTAGAATCCAATCATCGAAGCATTCTGCTAGTGACTCTTCGAAAAGCCGTCCGTGTACGGCACAAACACACCGGTTCTTCAGGGTGCAGAAATGGAAGATAAAAACATACGGCATTTCAGGCTGACACGTAACACAGCGCCATTCAGGTTCGGTAGACGCCAACTATGCACAACCAAGTTGTTTTTGTTCTTACTTGACAAAAACGTTTGCTGTCATAATGATGACAGTAATAATAACAATAATAATTGAGGCAGTCAGTAATTACTGGGATGCTCCGATGCACAATAGTGATCCTTTATGACGTTTTTATATTCCGTTTTATACCTCTCCCGTTTTTTTGTGTTATCGGATCGCCTGCAGCTGCTGCCACCAAAGCAACCATCGCCTCCGAAAGAGACGGACGACCTCGACCGATGTCGATGCCCCTTCTGTGTGTGGCTCACAATGCGTCCGTTCTTTCAACTACGCTTATTCGTGTAAAGTCATATCATCAAGCCTGCTACCCCCGCCGTCCAGAAACATTGCCCTCTCAAATCTCCGCTTTCCCCCCCCCCCCCCCCCGTTCACATGCGCGTTTTAAACGAAACAAGCAAACGACAATACTAAAAACGTTGTACTACTAGTAGCGGTACTATTTTCTTGTACGCAATTATCGTAGTTATCGAAGAGTACTAGCGTCATACTCTTCAATTTCCAGATATCACTTGACAATATCTGCATGATGATGTCCATGCCAGAGCCATTATTATAGTTCCTCAACTCTTCGTTGTTGCTGTTATTGCGTGCATTTCACCGTGCCGATGTCGTTGTTTGTTGCTAATAACTTTTTTGTTCTCTGAGCATCGCTTATAATGAAAAACATGCCCTTGATAAATTCGGTTGCGAGCGGAGAGGAAGCGTTAAGGTGGCAGACGTTGACGACAATGTGAAATTACCGTCACCAGGGCCATTATTTTGATGGTTTGGCCAATTTTGATGGTGCTTGTAGCTGGTTCCACCGATTGGACGGCATGTGTATGCGTTAGTCCTGGCGCGGCCTGCAGGCAGCTGCGCTATCAGACGTATAGCTCGGATCGCCATCGATCCACCTACAAGCTACCATTAACAGTAATATGGTGTAGTAGTGAGTTGATGCGGCTCGGATTCCCTACGCGTCCATACATTGGAGGAAAGAAAGGCAGGGAGGAAAATAAGCAAGCTACACCTCCTAGTAATTCTGCTGTATTTGGCAACGGATATTACAACAACAAGAGAGCTAAGTGATCGATCAATGAACGCACTTATAGTCGATAGCGTATGCGACAGTGCGGGCCCGAAAGAAGCGAGACAGCCGACCAACAAAATACGATTTGATTGACGTATAACTGAGTGAAGTTTAATAATATTGTGTGATGCTGACTGTAGGTAGCTCGATCTGGCCGAGGCTCAAAGCGACGGTCTCGCTGGCTGATAATTTTTCGCTGCAGGCAAACCTGAACGCTTACGGCAACTAACTTGTTCTATGCTGATTCTGCTATTAATGAAATCAGCGCAGAAATGTTTAGAAACTTCTTGAGTTGTACCGTCGGCGCTATGGGACAGTATCTAGACACTGATGTTCAAATTATGAGTAAGAGCATCCTTTAAACTAAAGAACGGGGTCACAAAGGAAACGGCGGAAAACATAGGAGTGGCAAAAAATCTACAATAGAGGCTTCCGTGAATTTCGAAAACAACCACCGCTTTAATATCTTACACCTACCAGGAGTATTTTCAGTGATACTAAGTGCCTATCTGCGTCTACGGGTAAGACGCACAAGCTAACCGGAAAAAGCTACATTCTGCTCTACTTCACAATGGTAAGGGCCGTCTTCGCTCCTTAGTTTTACGCTGATGCTGCTCCTCACGATACTGCTGGCTATGCTTCGTCTATTTACTGCTTGGCTGGCACCACCACATATCGTCATTGAAGCGGACGTCGTACGGCAGCCCAAAGCATAACAGATCCTTAATAGATAGATTCCTTCGAGCCCGAGCACTCTCAGGTCCCGCCTCTGCGATAATTTTATGTAACAGCCCCTTTAAGAGCTCCGCATCAACGCATCGAGCACCGGTAACGCGTAACGTTTTGTTCTGTAGTTCTATATTAGGAATGTTCCTCCTCTGCGGCATTATCCAGCAACTGGTCGCTGAAGATACGGGCCCTTACCAGGAGGCGACGCGCGAACATCCAGCAACATCGCAGGCAGGTCTCGGCGGCGAGTCAGGCGTATGGAAGCAGAAAGAGAAAAAAGAGTGAAAAAAACCGCCGAAAAAGAAAACGAGTAGAGCACACAGAAGAGATACAGAAGACAAACGGACAGAAAGGCGAAGGAAAAAAACGTAAACGTAGTACGCTTTTGTTGTGCCCGGACGCCCTGGCTCGCTGCAACGATCGGCTCGTTTCTCTCCGACCGTACCTCCCCCAGCAGCTGGCGGGGGTTGGTCGGCGTAGCAGTCAGCCGAACGGCCACTACTGAGCAAAAAGCACTCCTGAACTACTTGTAGCAAAAACTTCTGCAACAGCGATTTGGCCGATTGGACGGGGCTGAACGCCCGCAGCGGCGGTAACAACAATAACAACGATAACGAACACATTCGACTGCTCAAATCAGCGAAAAGAACCGCTTGGAAGAAGATGGCTACTCGGTGGAGGAAATAGGTAAAAATAAATGGTGCCAACAGCAACTGCAGGGCCCACAAAAAAATATTGTTTCGGGCGACGGCAATGCTAGCTAGCATGTGTTAGAGCTGGCAAGCAATAACGTAAAGAACAACAGGCATAAGGAAGAGCACCTATAAGCTAGTTAAATGGAGTAGAGTATTTGGCAGGGTCGGAATCGTAATGCATTGCATTATATTTAAATTAAGCGCTAAGTGCCTTTATACACACATATATATATATATACACACGCGAAATACTCGTGCCTGTGTGCCAGCTCGAGGCGTCGGGCATCACTGGTCCATCCGGTAACATACAAGCGCATGTAAAGGAGATAAGTAACTAAGAGGTAACAGGTAAGTTAGAGATATATGGTGCAATGAATACCCTACCATTATGATGAAGGATCGTGTAAATCTTTCTGTCGTCCGTTTTCATTCTGTCATTTGACAGAAGACACAGAAAAGGGTAAGATCACTGAAAAACGCCTTCGCTTGTCCATGCCGTCTGGTGAGGCAGCGTGTTCTCTGATTTCTGGACTCGTTGCGTCTTCTGCTATTTCTTGCATTTCATATTTGTCTACTGGATTTTTCTCCTTTTTCGTCTTCTTCGTGTTTCCTGTTTCGCATGAAAGCGAATAGGGACAGTGAATAGGAAAGGGGCGGAGGGGGAGTAAATAAAGATGGCACTGGATGATATGACAACAACAACTACGCCACACGGCGTGGTCACAGCATCGGCCGCTTGGGAGCAGATACAATCTTCCCCTCTTCGCTTTGGAAATGCAAAACTGACTCAGAAAAATAGGCAAGCTGGCCATCGGACGCACTCAAAGACAGGCAGCACGAGGGTGTCGTAAGGCAAAGTACCAACTCTACGCAGAAACAAGAATCGCTATAAAT